GAAAACAGAGAAGAGAGAAGGAATAATTGCAAGCACAACTTGCAAGAGCAGAGGATGCACTGGCCAAAGACACAGGCAACTGCAAGCTGCCCAATATCTCCCTCTTCCTATCCCATTTGACAGGCCCATTTACCAGCTGTGCCCCTGGATAAATTGCATAACCTCTTGACCGCTTTACTGTCTCTAAAGTGGTTGTTGTCCAAGATCACAAATGGCCTCTGAAAGTAGAGTTCTTTTGATGCTAGGATTCCCCAGGACTTTCTGCTGGTGTGTTTTGCCTGTAGATCATTGGGTCAAACTAAGGTTTAAAGTTATGAGTAATTGCGCACTGCCATTGGGAATGTAAAATGGCACAGCCATTATGGAAAACACTATGGTGGTTCCTCAGAAAATTAATAATAAAGTTATCATATGATCCAGCAATTCCACTTCTGGGTATATACTCAAAAGAATAGAAAGCAGGGACTTAAATAGATATTTGTATATCTATATTTACAGACACATTATTCATAATAGCCAAAAAGAGGAAGCAGCTCAAGTGTCCATTAATAGATGAATGGATAACAAAATACGGTGTAAACATACAATGCAATATTATTCAATAAAAGGGAAGGAAATTCTGACATACGCTACAATGTGGATGAACCTTGAGGACCTTATGCTAAGTTAAATCAGCCAGTCATAAAACGGCATATAATGTATTTCATTTGCATGATGTACCTAGAGTAGTCATATTCATAAAGACAAAGTAGAATGGTGGTTGCTAGGGGCAGGGAGGAGAGGAAAATGCAGTTACGGCTTCATGGGCACAGAATTTCAGTGTGAGAAGACGAAAAAATTTCTGGAGATGGATGGTGGTGATGGTTGCACAACAATGTGAATGTACTTACTGTCAATGACCTCTGCACTTAAAAATGGTTAAAATGGTAAATTTTATGTTACATATATTTTACCACAATTTAAAAAATACATCTGCTTAGGTAAAACAAAATGTCTACAATTATTAGAAAAAGACACTATAAATATCATGATGTAACCTTTCTCATACATATCAACAGGCCCAAGGATATTAATATCCAGAAGAATATAACTGATGCTTGAACAGTGACTTTTAGTTGCCAAGCAAAGATTAAATTATGGCCCACATACTATGGTTATACCAGATAGGTAAGAGGCACATTTTGCAAACATTTCCATCAAAAGTGGTTTCAATGAGAAATTTCTGATGCTTAAAGTTTGAGTGTCAGTTATCTAGAAAATTCCCCTTCATGAAACAGATTTCCTGTTGTCAGAAAATGAGACATAATAATCAATAAGATAACAGAGTATGAAAAGACATTGGTAGGCAGAAAATAATTTCATTTGAAAATTTGAAAATCTGCTGGAATACCTAGAGTTCTTCATAGAAACTCTCAGAGGCCTAGAGGCCCCTAAGTGTCACACACAAATTTACAGGAGGGAAATACCAGTTGAGTATGCCTGCTATGAAAATCTGAAATCCAAAATGCTCCAATGAGCATTTCCTTTGAGTGTCATGTTGGCACTCAAAAAGTTTTGGATTTGGGGACATTTTGGATTTTGGATTTGGGGATTAGGGATGCCCAACCTATATATTCTTTTCTGGGTAAGTCCTCATTACTTACAAATAATGTCAGTAATAGTCACAAGGAAACAAGCAAACTAGCCTACAAGAAGCCCCTTTCCAAATATCCTCCTTGATTCCTGATATTAGGTGGGGAAGCATTTTTCTCAGTTTTTCAATTGTTACACCGCCCCCTTCAAGTTTTGTATGTCCTATTCTTGTCTCCTAAATATGGGTATTTCCTGAGGGATAGGCCTTGGTAGCCTTCTCTTCTCTATGAATGCTCTCCCTGTTGAAAAGATCATATACAGCTGCTCCTTGATTTTTGACACGGTTATGTCCAGATAAACCCATCATAAGTAGAAATATCATTAAGTCAAAAATGCAGTTAGTACACCTAATCTACCAAACATCATAGTTTGGCTTAGCCTACCTTAAACATGCTCAGGACACTTACATTAGCCTATAATTGGGCAGGCTCATTTAACACAAAGCTTATTTTATAATAAAGTGTTGAATATCTCATATAATTTATTGACTACTGTACTGAAAGTGAAAAATAGAATGTATAGGTACTCAAAGTACACTGCTACTGAATGCACATGGTACCACTGTAAAGTATAACAATCGTTAAGTCAAACTGTCCTGTCGGGGAGCATCTGTACACAAGTTATTTCAACTATTGTTTCTTCATGAATTACTGACACATTTACACATCTGGGTAGAGACTCTCTTTCCTGAGCTTTAGTCTTGAATTTCTAACAACACCCCCGGAAATTTTCTCTTGAATATTTCACCAGTGTTTCAAATTTTACAAATGTATTTGGGCTCTGAGTTCATTTTTGCCTTAAAGCCAATTTACCTTATAGATATTCCTTTTCAGCCCCAATTTCCCAGGCTTAAATAATTGAAGTCTTTCCTGGTTTCTCTTTTTTTTTTTTTTTTTTTTAGATGGAGTCTCACTCTGTTGCCCAGGCTGGAGTGCAGTGGAGGAATCTCAGCTCACTGCAACCTCTGTCTCCCAGGTTGAAGCAATTCTCCCTGCCTCAGCTTCCCGAGTAGCTGGGATTACAGGTGCCCGCGACCACGCCCAGCTAATTTTTTTGAATTTTTAGTAAAGACAGGATTTCACCATGTTGGTCAGGCTGGTCTTGAACTCCTGACATCAGGTGATCCACCTGCCTCAGTCTCTCAAAGTGCTGGGATTACAGCAGTGAGCCACCGCACCCAGCTTCTTCCCTGATTTCCTTTTTTTTTTTTTTTTTGGTTCTTTTTTTTTGGAGATGGAGTCTCGCTCTGTCGCCCAGGCTGGAATGCAGTGGCGCGATCTCGGCTCACTGCAAGCTCCGCCTCCCAGGTTCATGCCATTCTCCTGCCTCAGCCTCCCGAGTAGCTGGGACTACAGGTGCCCGCCACCACGCCCGGCTAATTTTTTGTGTTTTTAATAGAGACGGGGTTTCACCGTGTTCGCCAAGATGGTCTCGATCTCCTGACCTCGTGATCTGCCCGCCTCAGCCTCCCAAAGTGGTGGGATTACAGGCATGAGCAACCGCGCCCGGCCTCCTTCCCTGATTTCTGCCAATCTTTTTCTCCCATCATCCACTCAGTAACTAAGGATAGTACTATTCACATTAAGTACTGTACACTAACGAATTGCACTACAGGAGCTCCAGGATAGTACTATTCAATTATTGTAACCTTGGTTGTTACAGCTCTTACCTTTACTACCCAACACCAAGACTATCCTATTCCCTCATCCATACTATCCTATACACTTTTGCTAGGTTAATGTTTCTAAAACATTACTTGGAATATTCATAGTTCTATCATTCATTCCACAAACACTTACTTAGTGCTAACTTCATGTAAAAAGCACAATGTGGGGCTGGGCTTGGTGGCTCAGGCCTGTAATCCCAGCCCTTTGGGAGGCTGAGGTAGGTGGACTGCTTGAGCCCAGAGCTCAAGACCAGACTGGGCAATATTGCGAAATTTCATCTCTACAAAAATACGAAAAATTAGCAGGGCAGTGGTGTGCACCTGTAGTCCCAGCTCTTGGGAGGCTGAGCCAAGAGGATCACCTGAGCCCAGGAAGTTGAGGCTGCAGTATGCCATGCTCACGTCACTGCACTCCAGCCTGGGCAACAGAATGAGACCCTGTGTCAAACAAACAAACAAACAAACAAAAAAGCACAATGTTAATACACTCCAGAATGTAGAAATGCATTGGATAAAGGCCTGTTTACAGTTTAATAGGGGGAAAAACTTGCAAGTAAATAATTGTAGATCGAAGTTAGAAAGTGGTAATAACTAAATACATGAAGTTCCAGAAATATGATGGATTCTCAATAGAAAGAAAAATTATTTCTAGGTGGAGATGTCACTTTCTAAAGCTTTAAATAATGGAAAGAATTTCAGTATTTGGAAATGAGAGGGAGGGACAGGTATTTCATGCAAGGGACATAAGCAATCTATAAAAATGTAATAATTTATGCAAGAAGTACTTCACAGGGTCTGGTTTACCACTGACTGAGGGAGAATGGAAGGGGAACAGCAGAAAACAAAAAAAACTTTTGAATCCAAGTTAATAAACTTGACCTTTAATCTACAGGCAACAGAGAGTCATTGGATCAGCTATTTTGGATCACGGTGGTGCTTGAAGATGACTACTCCTATAGCAGGTATATGTAAGATAGATTAGTAGCAGAGTGATGCTAGAGGCAGGACATCAATGAGGAAAGTACTGCACTGACACCGTGCAGGGGATGGTAATGAGAACTTTGATTAGGTGGGGGCAGTGGTTAAGAGGATGCCAGAATTACTGTAGGGGTACAATCGACAGGACTTGGCAAGTGATTGGAGCATGGGAAGGAAAGAAAGGGCATCAAATCTGACATCAAAGTTTCCAAGTTGATTGTATTAACAAAAACGGGTGCATAGCCTGGGAAGTAGTTTGGGAGGGAAGAGGCCAAGCTTTGTCGGGATATTAAGTGTTTATACATTTGCGGAACATCCCAGAACACATGGGCAAGGCTCTTGGAAGTAGCTGGATACTAACGACTGAAGCTGGAGCAGAGAGTAGTATGTTTCTGCAAAACCACATACAAAACGGACTACGGAAATCTTACTACCGAGGCTTGCCCAGGCAGGAGAGAAAGGTGTAGCATCCCTGAAGTCATCAGTCGTGTCTACTCTTCACGGCCTGCTCTCACCTCAGTTCCCCACGAAGACGCCGGGAGCAGGCGGCCGGAAGGAGCCTTTCCCTCCCTTCTCCGGTGATTCCCAGAACTTGTCTCTACCCGTCCACGGCTCCCAGTCAAAGGAGCTTAATAGACGGCGACGTTTTCGACTGGCCACCCACCAGGCAGGCTGAAAGCGCATGGAGGACATCATCCACCTTCAGACACCTACTTGCCCACACCTCATCGAGCTCTCAGCGTTGCGCCAGCATTTGAAGAAGCGATCTGTTGCAAAGCGAGCCACACGACGAGCCTTAGTTATCGCGAGACTTGACAGGCACCCTCAACATTAGCCCGCCGGAAGCGGAAGTCAGGTGATTGTTGGATTCTAGAGGAAGGGGCTCCGTTACATTGGAGAGCTGGAGTGGTCTGGAGTTCCACGGTGTGGTGAGCCAGAGGTCACGTCTCCTGCGGCTTCTCAGTGTCTCGCCGGCGAGGTTCGGCCCGAGTTGGATAGACATAGCCCTTGGCCGGTGAGTCGCCCAGGACGCCCGGGAGGAGGGAGCGGGGCGGCCGAGCTGGGTGGCCGGCGAGGTGTCCTCCCCCTGTGCCGTGATCTGTACTCTTTGCTAGACCGAAACCCATTTACTTCTCACGGCCCATAATTTCCCTCACTTCTGGAGGTATAAGGTGCTTCGGAAGGGAGCAAATCTGCCAGAACCTTGGTAAGCAAGCTGTGATGTGCCTTGAGGACGGACTGGAAAACGCAGTTGTTTTCAGTCTGCATCTTCTTCTGTTCCCCGGGCTCACCTCCTAGGGCAGCGAAACCCCATTCTGGTTGGTTATTTCCAGGGTTAGTCGCCCACAGCCAAAGTTCTTTGTGGTTTTATTTATGGTGAATAAATAGTAGTGTTCAAGTACAAATCTGAAAGGCTTATCCTAAAAGAACATATATACTTTATGAAGTTCTTATTCATACTTGAACTATTTTGCTTTTGAAGACCCAGAGGACAAATCTTGTAGCTTCTTGCTCTTCACTGTGAGAACCAGTTCCCTCTCTGGAATGTTAGTTTTGGGAGTCTTTAGAGCGGTTTTTTTTTTTGAGACGGAGTCTCGCTCTGTCGCCCAGGCTGGAGTGCAGTGGTGCGATCTCGGCTCACTGCAACCTCTGCCTCCCAGGTTCAAGCGATTCTCCTGCCTCAGCCTCCCGAGTAGCTGGGACTACAGGCACTTGCCACCATGCCCGGCTAATTTTTTCTATTTTTAGGAGAGATGGGGTTTCACTGTGTTAGCCAGGCTGGTCTCGATCTCCTGACCTCGTGATCCGCCTGCCTTGGCCTCCCAAAGTGTTAGGATTACAGGCGTGAGCCACCGCGCCTGGCCTTAGAGCACTTTTACTCCAATTCTGTCCTCGAGTAAGACTCTTATGCGCTACCCTCCCCCGCAAACGCCTTTTGAGAGTTTCCTTAAATAAAGTCAAGTTTGTTTTTTTCCTCCCACAGATTTAAACAACCTAATAAGCAATACAGCTGCCTCAAATCTTTGGGGTAAGTAAAGCTTGGGTCAATTAGCATTCTATTTGAATTCCATTCTCAGTAATAATACAGTTGATATTTGTTTACATGAGTGTGGGTGGGGAGTCGTGGGAGAACATGAGAACATAAAAATGGAGTAGCATCTTTTCCTTGCCTTACGATTTTTACTGCCCATCTGGATTAGGTATGGGTCATCTTTTTAGTGATTTCTGTGATCCCAGTAGAATTCTTGTACGCATGATTTTAATTAGCTGAATTTATTTAAAACTCATTCCTTGGATTTGAGAATTTGACATATAGTTTGCCAATCCCAGACACATTGAAAGTCTTTTATATTTGGCATTTGGTAAAGCATACTAAGAGCAATAGCCTGAAAGATAAGAGTGTCAGGCTGGGCGTGGTGGCTCACGCCTGTTATCCCAGCACTTTGGGAGGCTGAGGCAGGCGGATCACCTGAGGTCAGGAGTTCAAGATCAGCCTGGCCAACATGATGAAACCCCATCTCTACTAAAAATACAAAAATTAGCGGGCAGGCGTGCACCTGTAATCCTAGTTACTCAGGAGGCTGAGACAGGAGAATCACTTGAATTCGGGAGGCGGAGACTGCAGTGAGCCGAGATCACGCCATTGCACTCCAGCCTGGGCAACAAGAGTGAAACTCCGTCTCAAAAAAAAAAAAAAAAAGAAAAAAAACCTGGGTGCAGTGGCTCACACTTGTAATCCCAGCACTTTGGGAGGCCAAGGCGGGCAGATCATGAGGTCAGGAGTTCAAGACCAGCCTGGTCAACAAAACCCCATCTCTACTAAAAATACCAAAATTAGCTGGGTGTGGTGGCATATGCCTGTAATCCCAGCTACTTGGGAGGCTGAGGCAGGAGAATTGCTTGAACCTGGGAGGCAGAGGTTGCATTGTGCTGAGATTGCGCTATTGCACTCCAGCTCTGGGCAACAGAGCAAGACTCTGTCTCGGGGGGAAAAAAAAAGAAAGAAAGAAAATCTACATATTGTTTCTTGCACTCCAAACAATAATTTTGGTTTAATTTTGTTGGAGTGAAAGTAGGTAGTATAAATGTTACAAATATTTGCATATGTTTGGAGGAAAGGCAGGCTAATGAAGAAGTTACCACAGTAGCTTCCGTTGTCACATCTCTTTGTCCAAAACCTTTTATTGGAAGTTAATAACGTAAGAAAAATAATTTGGGCCAGGCACAGTGGCTCAAGCCTGTAATCCCAGCACTTTGGGAGGCCAAGGTGGGAGGATCACTGAAGCCCAAGACTTCCAGCCTAGGCAACATGGCAAGACCCCATATCTTCAAAAAATACGAAAATTAGCTGGGTATGGGTGGCATGCACCTGTAGTCCCAGCAACTTGGGAGGCTGAGGTGGGAGGATTGTTTGAGCCAGGGAAGTCAAGGCTGCAGTGACCCGAGGTTGTGCCACTGTGCTCCAGCCTGGGTGACAGAGTGAGAGACCCTGTCTCAAAAAAAAAAAAAAAAAAAAAAAAAGAAAATGTTGAATTCAGTATCTAAAATATGACAAGTCTGAAAGCACACAAAGGCTTCCACGAATACCCTGCCTAAAAATTGCTTGCTTCTTGGTTTTTCATTATCTGGAGAGAGTGTTAATTTTTAAATTTTTTTAATGGAAATGTCTTCAAAATTGTACAGAATTTCAGAATGACTGACACTGCCGAAGCTGTTCCAAATTTTGAAGAGATGTTTGCTAGTAGATTCACAGAAAATGACAAGGAGTATCAGGAGTACCTGAAACGCCCTCCTGAGTCTCCTCCAATTGTGGAGGAATGGAATAGCAGAGCTGGTGGGAACCAAAGAAACAGAGGCAATCGGTGTGTATTCAAAAGAATAAATGCAGATGGTTGATCTGGCAGAGGATCGCTTTAATCTGCTAGACTGGAAGACCAGTGAGGGCAGGGACCACTGTTTTTAGTATGGCATGCCTAGTACCTAATAACAGTACCTGATACATTGTTTCTGATAGATATTTGCTTTAATATTTTTTCAGCACCATATATTTTTTTCTTGCTGTTCAAGTGTGTGTGTTTTCTTGTTTTTAGATGTTCTTTCTGTAGATTATATTTTCAATGCAAATCTACTTTAAAAACCTAGAGTTGGCCAGGTGCCGTGGCTCAAGCCTGTAATCCCAGCACTTTGGGAGGCCGAGATGGGCGGATCACGAGGTCAGGAGAGTTCAAGACCAGCCTGGTCAACAAAACCCCATCTCTACTAAAACTAGCCAGGCGAGGTGGCGGGTGCCTGTAGTCCCAGCTACTCGGGAGGCTGAGGCACGAGAATGGCATATACCCGGGAGGCGGAGCTTGCAGTGAGCTGAGATCCGGCCACTGCACTCCAGCCTGGGTGACAGAGCGAGACTCTGTCTCAAAAAAAAAAAAAAAAAAAACCTAGAGTTTTCAACAACTTGTTCAATTCCGGAAAGAAAATATTGTTTTGATTTTACTTTAGGAAGAAGTTTACAAATGGAAGTTACTTTTACTTAATAATTCAAAATAGTCAAAGGAATAAATTACCATATCGTTTTTGTGCAATTGAATAGATTTCACTTTAATTTGGAACTATTCTATTGGTTATATAGTCTGCCTATGTCTCTGTAAAGTATACCTAGTATAACACTGGAAGAGTGATTTCAATCTTAGGAAAGTTTTGAATAACTGGTGCTATAACGTTCTATTGTGAAAAATGTTTTATAGTCTTATTTATTGTGTATTAGAATGAGAAACCAGAAGCACTGCTATGGGTTTGTCATAATGTTTTTTTAACAAGGGAAGTTTAAAGACTTTTTTTGTTTTTATTGTTGTAGGTTGCAAGACAACAGACAGTTCAGAGGCAGGGACAACAGATGGGGGTGGCCAAGTGACAATCGATCCAATCAGTGGCATGGACGATCCTGGGGTAACAATTACCCACAACACAGACAAGAACCTTACTATCCCCAGCAATATGGACATTATGGTTACAACCAGCGGCCTCCTTACGGTTACTACTGATAGAAATGTTGGCAGCTTTTAGTAAAAGCATTTACTCTGTTACCATGACAAAAGTTTGGGTGTCTTCTGTTGGTCATAGTTTTATATCTGATTTTAGAGAATGGATTATTGATTTTGTGGAAGTTGAGACTTTAAAAAAAAATAGATCTTACTTGCGAGATGCGATGGTTGCTGGGAATACCTGAAATTGTGGATTATATTGCTTGACTTCTACCTCAGAATCTTCTTTATTTCATGACTTAATACTGCTATGAGTTTGGTATATTATTTGACCTCTAGGAGTTCTTTGTTTTACACAGAAATAAAAATTTTTAAATAGAAAATGCTTACTTTGTAAGGTAAGAGAGTTATCCATATGCTTAGATGTGTTCGTTTCTAAAATTCTAGAGGTTGATATAATCAGCTCATGAATGCACAGCTATGCTTTTTGTGATAGATTGTACATAGTATCAGCAGTTGAAAGGTAAAACAATCGCTTTTTTTTTTTGCTTTTGCTTTTGTAAAGTACTATGGTACTTTGTGATTCCTTACTCTATAGATAAGTCAGCGTCACATTTATTTGGGTTTCTTTTTAGAGGAAAATCAGTAATAAAGCTGTAAAATAAGGAATCGTTGTCAGTTTGTGTCTTGATCTCATGGTGGTTGGGATCAGGGTACACATTTTATGCAAACACTAAGGCTTTTTGCTAACAACACAGCAGGTCAAAATTCACACATACAAAAGTTTAACTCTGTACTATTCACACTTTTCTTTTTAATCCTGTAAGTAATGCTGCATTTTGATTGATCTTTCTTTTTTGGTATTTAATGTGGGCTGATTTTACAATGTTATATTCACTTGCAGATACATACCTCTGCTGCTTTCTCTTCTATAAATAGTGATGCTATAAACTTCCTTTCACAGAGATCATTCTATTTCAAATCATTTGAATGATTATTACAATGATTTCATTCAAATAAAAATCTTAAAAATTTAAGCATCTTCACTCCCAAGTTCTGGCAGTTAACCCATTTATTAATATGTTGAAATGAGATTTTTGGTTTTTTTATGCTGTCCTTCGTATCTGTTGAAAAGGGCTTATTTGGTTTGAGAGTAACATTAGGAGTGCAAATTTCAACATAGGTCAAAGGAATTAACAGGCACCTTCCTAACTTTATTAGAGTGACCAAAAAAAAAACCTAAATAATATTTTAAAAGGCACCTTCCAGCTGGGCGTGGTGGCTCACGCCTGTAAACCCAGCACTTTGGGAGGCTGAGGCGGGCGGATCACTTGGGGTCAGGAGTTTGAGACCAGCCTGACCAACATGATGAGACCTCCGTCTCTCTACTAAAAATACAAAAATTAGCCAGGTGTGGTGGCATGCCTGTAATCGCAGCTACTCGGGAGGCCAAGGCAGGAGAATCACTTGAAGCCCAGAGGCAGAAGTTGAAGTGAGCCAAGATCATGCCACTGCACTCCAGCCTGGGCAACAGAGCGAGACTTCATCTCAAAAAAAAAGGGTATCTTCGTAAGCCTGTTTTTTACTGCCTTCTCTCTCAGCACCCCAGTCTAGGCCCTCGAGGTTGACTTCTCCAGGTACTTCATGCTCTGCATCTACCTCTCCCTTTTATTCTCCCTTCCTGAAGAGCCACCCTCTCTGGTAACTATTTTATTGGAAAGGACCTAATAAGTCATGCATTCACATTAAGATGCAAATACAATCTTAACAGTAAGGGTTTTCCCTGTACCCCCCTAATTACATCAGTAGGCAAGAAGCCAGTGCTGTTATATAAAGATAGGATTTGATACTACAGATATTTAGCCTAGATAGTAATGTCCTGACTATACCCCAGGATCTTCTCTGAAAGCAGAAGTGTTATTAAAAATATGTATCACCTGGTTGGGTATGGTGGCTCACGCCTGTTATCCCAGCACTCTGGGAGGCTGAGGTGGGAAGATCACTGGAAGCCAGGAGTTCGAGGCCAGCCTGGGCAATGTAGCAAGATACTGTCTCTACAGAAAATTTAAAAATTAGCTGGTTGTGGTGGTGCATGCCTGTAGTCCTAGCTACTCAGGAGGCTGAGGCAGGAGGATCCCTTGAGTCCAGGAAGAGTTCAAGACTACAGTGAGCTAGGATCATGCCACTGTACTCCAGTTTGGGCTAGATAGACCCTGTCTCTAAAAGTAACGATTTATAGGCTGGGCGCGGTGGCTCACGCTTGTAATCCTAGCACTTTGGGAGGCCGAGATGGGCAGATCACCTCAGGTCAGGAGTTCGAGACCAGCCTGGCCAACATGGTAAACTCCTGTGTCTACTAAAAATACAAAAATTAGCCAGGCATGGTGGCAGATGCCTGTAATCCCAGTTACTTGGGAGGCTGAGGTAAGAGAATTGCTTGAACCTGGCAGGTGGAGGTTGTAGTGACCTGAGACCATGCCATTGCACTCCAGCCTGGGCAACAAGAGCGAAACTGTGTCTCAAAAAAAGAAAAAAAGATTTATAAAATGATCACCTGAGAAAGCACAGGCAGTTGGGACAGTAGCTGACTATAGCTTTAGGGCAGGATTCTGTGCTGTGCCAGCTGTTGACACAAAGGGAGACGTATGGGTCCAAGGCCAGCGCTGGAGGAGTGCTTCTCAGGAAGCTCAGAAGAGATGTGGTTTTCCAACAGTATTTAAATGTTTTAACACTCAACACAGCTAGGCTGCATGTGTCCTGAGTATCAGCCCTGCTTGAAAACATGGGAAGAAACCTTTCAACATGAGTTAATTCTGCATGCTGCATGAATAATCTATGTTGTTATGGTTTTTGTTTTCTAACAGCAGTTACTATCAGACTGTACCCCTGCGTCCCACCTGCTTAAAACCAGGAAGAAATAAAAGGCACAGTTTCTGCTTCATAGGACAGAAAATGACATGAAAAAAAGCTTAAAGATAATTTAAGAGTGAGAACAAAGAATTAAAATAGTGTCACACAGAATTAATTTCAAGTAGACAGTCCGTTATAACAACATATGACATTAGGCATAAGGAGTCCTAGCTTCCAGTTCTGTGCTTAAAACCTATGTGACCTTGAGAAAATCATGTAAATGCTGAGCTTATTGGCTCAGCTGTAAAAATGGGGACAATACCCACCCTGCCACCCTCACAGAATTATAAAAATAAATAACCAAAGGAAGAGCTTGAGAATATAGAGTTGTGACCATTAAACCCCTAGTGGGATATAATAGGTGCTGCATAAACATTTGTTGAATCAACGGGAGGGAAGTATTTGGTAAATTGTAAAGCATAATGTTGACATAAAGGATGTAGAGTAATGGGCAGAAGATGAGGTAGGGCAGGAGAAGTTCAGAATTAAGGATCTGTGATTGTTTCCTTATGTTAATTCATATGTGAATTAGCAAAGGAAAGCAAATTATCTCATTCAGAAAATAAACACTTCAAATGTGGAAGATGGTTTGCATAAAACTTGAGCTAAAATTAGTAGCATTTGGCCAGGCTCTGGGATTACGCCAGTAATCCCAGAACTTTGGGAGGCCGAGGTGGTGGACCATCTGAGGTCAGGAGTTCGAGACCAGCCTAGCCAACAAGGCAAAACCCTGTCTCTATGAAAAATACAAAAATTAGCCAGGCATGGTGGTGCACACCCGTAGTCCCAGCTACTAGGGAGGCTGAGGCTAGAGAATCGCTTGAACCTGGGAGGTGGAGGTTGCAGTGAGCCAAGATTGTGCCACTGCACTCCAGCCTCAGTGACAGGGCAAGACTCCATCTCAAACATAAATAAATACATAAATTAAAATAAAATTATAGCATTTGACATTTGAAAATTGGTAGTGAATTTAGAATGTCAAATATTAATTATTGAACACATCAGATTAATGTCCTTTTGAGAACAGGATGCTGGGGACTTTGAGTTTTTTGTTTGTGTTTTGTTTTTGAGTGCTAGCTGGACTTGGGGTTACACAGAATGTAATAAACTTGAGTCACTGCTCTGAGAATAGTTTTGGGGTTCCTGAAACCACATAGGAAAAAGACATCTGGGGAGATTTCTAGGATGGTTTTTGTTCCCAAAGCCACTTTCCTTATAATGCTCAACAGACAAATATGTAATTGCCCCTTGTATTTTATTCACCTAAAGAAAAATATAGGACTTTATGATAGAATTAAGGGTAATGAAATATCAGTTTTAAGTTTAGAATGTTAAAATTGAAGGAAATGATCATTTGCCCTAAAGGTTATTGACAGCACTAATTTTGAACTCTCATAAAAGAACTACACTTGTTTCCTAAATGTAATTTTTTAAAAAAACATTATCTATTTTTAAACAAGTTCAAGCCAAACCTAAATACAATTTTTTTATACCTTAAAAATTTTCCTAGACTTCCTATTTCATTTGATTCATTCTATCCAAACACAGATCTGGCTATGTATGGAAATCTATGCCATAGACTGTTGACTTCTTTTAATTAGCACAATTATCTACAGTGAAAAGGATATTTTTTAAATTAGGCAATATAGGAAACAAATACTCCCAGCTTAAGGTGGCCTCTATTATTATTGGACTTCAGTTAGCTGGAAACGTTACTTGTGAAAGTACTTACTTTGTAATGTCAGACAAATGAGATATTATATGTAAACTATTTACTGAAATGCCTATTTGAATTTTTCTTTCAGTATCTTGCATTTTAACCGAAGACACATATTTAATATGTATAAATGAGGATTCTGAAATATTAAATAAGGCTTTGGTTAATTCTGTGTGAAAAATTAAGGTACTCAAAGAATTTTTGTTCTGTTTATTTATGAACACAGAAAGATATGCTTTTAAAACTCTCAAATTTTAAAATTGATTTAAGCCCAACAGCAGAAAATACTCTTGACACTGGCAGAAGTGAATATTGTTAATATTGAGATTAATCCTTTAGGATTCAGATATATCCAGATATGACATAATATCTAAACAAAGATTTTTCCTGACATCTGCTATATTAAATTATTATAGAATGAAATAAACAACTAGATTCAAGTAGTAGATTAAAACACTGGAGCCCACAGCAGCCTTGAGAGCAGATATCTCCTCTTTTCTAGAAGTCTGGTTGATTACTGCTGGGACCAGCTTTTGAGGAAAATAAGGATGGAAGTAGAGATCCCTTGACCTGTGGACATTCTGGGAGAGTGGCCCTGGGCCAGGCTGGCTGCATGGGTCCCAATCAGTGGGGCTGCACTACATCACGGTGTGCCCAGGATGAGGAAGAAGTGACACTTCAGCTGTTGTGACACTGTTGAGGCCTCCGGGTGCCAGAGAAACATCTTGCTTCTGAGGAATTCAACTATCAGTGCTGTCAGATTAGAAAAGTGGAGATGAGCTGTGGATAATACCCCTCAGATTTAAAGATTTACAGGATGAAATAGGAGGAGCAGGTTAATGAAGAAGACAAGTCTTCGGTCAGAACAGCTGGCCGGGTACAGTGGCTCATGCCTGTAATCCCAGCACTTTAGGCAAAACCCCATCTCTACTAAAAATAAAAAAATTAGCTGGGCGTGGTGGTACATGACTGTAATCCCAGCTACTCGGGAGGCTGAGGCAGGAAAATCGCTTGAACCCAGGAGGCGGAGGTTGCAGTGAGCTGAGATTGCACCACTGCACTCCAGCCTGGGTGACAGAGCGAGACTCCGTCTCAAAAACAAACAAACAACAACAACAACAACAACAAAACAGCTAATATGTGATTCAACTGCCCCTTTGCAGGAATAAGAGAGAGCATGAAGTATGCGGCACCGAGCTAGGCACATAATGGGTACCCAGTCAGTGAGGTTCATATATAAGAATGAGTTATCTGTGGGCTGCTGAGGTGCAAGAAGGACAACTCGCATATCTTTCACCATGTCTTCATAGGCTGATGGGCTGATTTCAGCTGTTTTCATTCTTCTCCCTAAAGGGCACAGACAGCCCCATGTATGGGCTAATTGAGCTGGTGTTTTCATTCCTT